ATGAGTATCTTATGTGTATTATTTATATATTTTTTTAGTTAATGGTATCTACCTTTACTGTGATGGTTTGAATGAGAATATATTCTCATATATTTGAAAGCTTAGTCATCAGGGAATGGAAATATTTGAGGATTAGTTGATGTGGTCTTGTTCAAGTAGGCATGGCCTTGTTGGAGGAAGTGTGCCACTGGGGGTGGGCTTTGAGGTTTTGAAAGGCCAAGCCAGGCCAAAGTGAGTCAGTAGATCAGTCTCAGTCTCTCTCTCTCTCACCCTTTCTCTCTGTCTCTCTCTCTATGTCTCTGTCTCTCTTTCTGTCTGTTTCTGGGTCAGGATATAACACTCCCAGTTATTGCTCCAGTGCCAGCTGCATGCTGCCATGCTCCCCACCATGATGAAAATGGACTAAACCTCTGAAACTATAAGCAGGCCCCCAATTGAGTGCTTTTTTTTTTTTTATAAGAGTTGCCTTGGTTATGATGTCTCTTGACAGTAGTAGAACAGTGACTAACACATTTCCCAATTAATATATTTTTGGGAATACTTTATTCAGTACTCAGTTGTTGAATTTATCTATAGCTGTCATTCAAGGTGGGAAGGGCATTTCTCTACTGCTTTAGGCTCTTCTCACTTGTATGGTATGTAGTAGAAGATCATGGTAGATACAGTTTCATATCTGACACTTGGTGTTATTGTTGCCTGGGCCACCTTGTTTCTTCCCAATGTGGCTTCCCATCCTTTAGCGCAGCAAGTCAGCTTCTTTCTGCTGGAGTTGGAGAGCAGCTCGTTGTGACTGCTAAGAGAGGAATGGTGGAGGTAGCACAGCTCATCAGGAACTCAGGCAGTCTTTCTACCAGCACATGATCAGAATAGATTTCTTTCTTACTGAGGGGAACGGCAATGAGTTTGTTTTCATCTATAAAACAAATATGTGTTCAGATGTAACTAATTAAAATGGTTTGTCCATTCCAAGAAAACTTCCTTGCTTATGTCTTTATACTATCTTTTAGCTTACTTTTTTACTTCTGTTGAATTCTAGTGTTTGGGACATTAGATGCAAAAGCTAGATAGATTGAAGTTAGACAATTGGGGCTGGATTATACAGTAAGAAATGCTGTATATTTCATATTGTAAAGCATTGGGAGAAATCTATTCTCTGGTTGTTCCTAACTCAGAATGCTACAGTTGGATTCCTTTATTATAATCTTACATTTTTCTTTCAAAAGTAAATATGTTCTGTGTGGTGTTTTGACACTATATGACTTTAACATATTAAAACATATGGTTAATATAACTAAACAAGTTATATAAACTTTGTATCAATTAATAAAGATTTTCCTTGGTCTTTTAAATTTCTTCCTAGTACACCACCCCACTCCATTGTGTACTTGTGTGATCGGTTGTGGCTGGATCCTTAACTTGTTTGCAGCCTTGTCTTATGTGGATACTTCAGGGTTTAACATACATGTGTATTGTTTTCAGCTTTTGTAGAAAAACTGTGCGGGCAGAATCTGTATTTTAACCATCTGTGATTGTGTCAACTACCGTTCCATTGCATGAGAAGGTGCACTTCTGTACAGAACATATCACCAAATTTCTGGATATTTGTGTATCTCTTAAATGAAGTGTCATTGTAGGATCAACTTTCTTTTTATTTTTTTCTCCTGAGACTGACATCTTTTTATATTCTTGAAGAGCCATTTGTATAGTTCTGAGAAGTATTTATTTATACCCTTAGCTCATTATTGTCTTCTCAGTTTTTAGGATCTCTTAGAAATACTTGCCCTTTGTGATAAGTATTTACATATTTTAACTTTGTTTACAATGCTTTTATCAAACAAATTAGATTTTATATCTAGTAAGATTTATTTTTTTTTAAATTATCCTTATGGCCTTGATTTTGAGTATAATGGAAATTATATTGGAAATGTTATAATTATAATTTCATATATAGTTATAATAATGGAAAGACTATTTTTTTCTCTGATTTTTTGTTTTCTTTAGTATTTACATGGGTCTCGTTTTTATTTGGAGAACTTTGATCCAAGTAGAGTTTTTGTTTGTTGAAATTGACAAGAAATAAAGATCTAGCTTTTTAGGTAGCTACTCAGTTTTCCTGCATTATTGAGAGGAAAAGCTCATGGTTTACTCTGATTTAAAGCACAGCCTTTCTTCATTTGTGACCATCTTGTATGTGTTTGGAGTGTATTTCTTTACCTTCTGTTCTTTTTGACTTATTGGATGATGCCTGAACACCATACTGTGATACTTTTATCAAGGCATTACAGTATATTCTAGTATTCAATAATTCCAGTTCTCCAATAGCCCTTGCTTTTTATTGCTGATATTCAGAACTTTATGAAGGGTTCTTTCTCTTATTTTTCAACAGGAGCCTTATAATCAAATTGTCTTGTTCTTGGAGTGTGGGGGGGAATTGTTAGTGGGTTTTACTGGGATTTCTTTAAATTAAAAAATTAACATTGGGCAAACTGCCATTTTGATGATACTGGTTAGTCCTGTTCAAGAAGATGGTCTGTCCTTGTCTATAGGAATCTGCATCTGAGGTCATCATTAATGCTTTAAAATTGACTTTCTATCCATGTGTCTTGAATGAATATTGAATTTGCCATCATTTATTGCTACTGTAAACATCACCTGCTGTATCTTAAAGCTGACAGGCTCCACTTTTCTGCATTAATTTTATATCTTGAGATCTTAATGCTTTGTTCTTTTACAGCCTGCCCCAGGATGTATTGTTCTGTGTTTGTGACTTTTCTTTATCTACTTTCCTCATGTTTAACTCAAGGAGATTTATAGCCATCCCTGCTGTTTTTCAGGATGTTTTAGAGATTCAAGTGTAGGCTAACATCAAACCATGGCTTACTGCAGAATGCTTGACCTAGCTTACTCCAGGGGCATAAAATTTGCTTCATAGGCTTCTCTAAATAAGATAATTATGATAATATAGTAGTAGTATCTTACCAGATGCTATCTGTAACATTTGTTTTTAGTAGCCAGTTATGGAATAGACTAGCATTTTCTAACAGAACTGAGCATGTATGATTGCTTCCCACAATAAGCTTTAATTATAATTATCTCTCATTTGTTTATATTCTATCTGCCATTCTCTAAATCAGTAGGCAGTACTTTTTCTGACCAGTAAATGGCCAGATGGTAACTATTTTAAGCTCTGCAGGCTTTCAAGTCTCTTTGACCATAGACTGTAGTAAACAGATAGATATATAGAACAGTTCCAGCAATTTTTTTCTTAGAGATTTGTAAGTGGGATAGATTTGTCCTTTGAGTTATTATTTGCTGACCCTTGCTCTAAACCCAGCTGTTGAAAGTATCCTGGGGGTGGGTGGTGGATACAGGTGTGGAAGTCAGAGGTGTTGACATTAGGTATCTTCCCCAATCTATTTCCATCTTATCTTTTGAGACAGAGTCTTTCCCTGAACCTGGATCTCATCATTTAAGCTAGCTTGGGAATTTAAAAGGCCCCTTAGGGACTCTCTTGTCTTGGCCTCTCCAGCTTTAGGATTACAGTGTGTGCCTCCATATTTGGCTTTTTATATGGGTTCTGGGGCGTAAAGTCAAGTCTTCACTCTAACAGAGCTATTTACTGACTGAGTCATGTCTCCAGCCCAATTAAGTCATATTTTTGTTTAAAATGTTGATCATTTGAATAAAATGCTGTTTAGGTTTCTTTGTTTTATTTAACTGCATGACATCATATATATTTGATGGAGTTTCCCCCCTTATATTTCTTGCAGCTTTTCCAAATCTTACAACATGGGCAGCTTAACTCCTTTACATATTCTCTCTACTTGTATTATCATACAAGAAGTATAAAACCATTTTCATCTATTCTCTGCTTTTTTTTTTTCGAGTTCAGATTATTTCAACAAAAATTGGAATTCTATGTAGAAAATATTCTGTACAAAAGTGTCTCCTTTAGTAGTCTCTAAAAATGGTGATTTAAAAAAAAAAAACGGCGATCTTTGACTTTACCAATCGGTCAAGTTAATCAGTGGGATTCATTAGACATTAGAGAAGCAAATTACAAATGTATTTAGAATATTCTTAGCAAATGTTACCTCAATCTTGTAGATAGTTCTGTCCTCATGTGTCATCCTTTCAATAGGAGTTGTATGTTTAAGACATTATAAGTTCACTTTTGAGTCCTTTCATCTTGGAAATTGTAAAGGTGTTGATGTTTGATGAGATGGTAACAATGGTTCATTGTGCGCTGCAGTCACTGATGTCACAGCATAGACAGGAACTGTTTCTTTTAAGTAAATACAACTAATTCACAAGACTGAGGAGAAGGCTCCCTGTGATGGTTTTGATGAGCTGTAAGGTGTCATTGTAAAGTGTCAAGAGGCGGGGGCAGGCATACAAAACTTGAAACAAAAAGGAAAATGTGTGTGATTGGAGAGTAAAAGCAGAAGAGAGGCTTTCCTTGAAAGCAGGAGTTGTCCTTTGCCTGTCAGCTCTGCTGCTTGCCCTCCCACAGGAGACTTGTAGAAGCTGCCAGCAAGATGCCCAGAATCAGCTCACTGGCTCCACCTCTGCATCCTGTGCATCACTGCATCCTCCGTGGAAACTGCAGTGGAGGCATTCTGTAGTTCTCAGTAGTACTTTAGACTCTCCCTGTCCCCGCATGCCTGTAATCCCAGCACTCAGGGAGGGAAAGGCAGACAGATTTCTGTGAGTTGGAGGTCAGCCTGATGTTCAAAGTGAGTCTAGGACAGCCAAGACTACACAGAAAAACCATGTCTTGAAAAACAAGCAACCAAAATTCTCCACATGCTAATTAAAGCAAATGAATTTGAGAATATCTGGGTATTTCTGGGTTTGACGTTAGGTGGTATGTACAAAGGTTCTGAAACCCTGTAAATGTGCTCTACCAAAGAGAGGCATACTTTCTTTCAACAGAGAGAATTACTTACCTTGCTCCAATACAAGGGCTTCTTGCCAGGGATGTTAGGAGTGTCAGGAGAATACTCACTTCAGTAGCACATATACCAAAATTGGAAGGTTACAGAGATTAGCATGGCCCCTGTGCAAGGAGGACATGAAAATTCATGAAGTGTTACATATGGAAAGAAAAAGTGCCAGGAATAAAAACTGTTTACAAATACAGCTGCATTGAATCTGTAGATTGCTTTTGGCAAGATGGCCATTTTTACTATGTTAATCCTGCCAAGACATGAGCATGGGAGATCTTTCCATCTTCTCATATCTTCTTCTAATTCTTTCTTCAGAGACTGGAAAAATTTTTCATACAAGTCTTTGACTTTCTTGGTTAGGGTCACACCAAGGTACTGTATGTCCTTTGTGGCTTTTGTGAAGGGTGTTGTTTCCCTAATTTCTTTCTCAGCCCTTTTGCCTTTTGTATACAGGAGGGCTACTGATTTTTTTGAATTAATTTTGTATCCAGCCATTTTGCCGAAGGTGTTTATCAGCTGTAGGAGCTCTCTGGTAGAATTTTTGGGTCACTCAGGTATACTATCATATAGTGATACTTTGACTTCTTCCTTTCCAGTTTGTATCCTCTTGATAAGCTGAATCTGCCCATTTTGTTTTGAATTATACCAAGTGGATAAGTAGTCTGTGTTTAGAAGACAATAATTTTGATTGAAATCAAGTGTCATTTTTAATCTAATGAAAATACTGTATGTTATCTATTCTTCAGAATAAGCTTGTAGACTATGGTTACTTGTTTTAAAGGGGTTTTTGTTGTTATTCTTTTGACAGTTTCATGTGTATATCTAATGAATTTTAGTTACTCTCACTTCCCCATATTACCTTATTATCCCCTAGCTGCTCCCACTGAAACCTTTTTTCTTCCCAATAAGCCTCCTTCCTACTTCTGTGTCTTTTTATGTGTGTGACTCACTGAACTTATGCAGGGCTTCTGTATGAGTATGGTAGAAGCTTATTCACTAGATACTAAAGAGAGTGGCACTATTAGCTCTGTAAACCCTCAGGGAGGGCCGAGGCTAAATACACTCTTCACCCCTTCTGTGATGAAACTTTGATTATACTAGTCTTGTACAGGTAGCCACAGCTGCAGTCAGTTTATGTGTACGTAGGCCATGTCCTAATCAGAAGATGTTGCTCAAGAGCCCCAATATGTTTATCCTATATTATATGTCTATAGGAGTGAGTATATACCGCGTGTGTCTTTCTGCTTCTGGGACAGCTCACTCAGGATGATTTTTTCCAGATCCCACCATTTACCTGCAAATTTCATGATTTCCTTGTTTTTTATTGCTGAGTAATACTCCATTGTGTGGATATAACACAATTTCTGTATCCATTCTTCAGTTGAGGGGCATCTGAGCTGTTTCCAGCTTCTGGCTGTTACAAATAAGGCTGCTACAAACATGGTTGAGCAAATGTCCTTATTGTGTACTTGAGCCACTTTTGGATATATGCCTAGGAGTGGTATAGCTGGGTCTTGAGGAAGCGCTATTCCTAGTTGTCTGAGGAAGCGCCAGATTGCTTTCCAGAGTGGTTGTACAAGTTTACATTCCCACCAGCAGTGGAGGAGGGTTCCCCTTTCTCCACAGCCTCTCCAGCATGTGTTTTTGTCACTTGAGTTTTTTATTTTAGCCATTCTGATGGGTGTAAGGTGAAATCTTAGGGTCGTTTTGATTTGCATTTCCCTGATGGCTAAGGACGTTGAACATTTATTTAAGTGTTTCTCTGACATTTGATATTCCTGTATTGAGAATTCTCTGTTTAGCTCTGTACTCCATTTTTTAAGTGGATTACTTGATTTGTTGCTGTTTAACTTCTTGAGTTCTTTATATATACTGGATATTAGTCCTCTGTCAGATATAGGGCTGGTGAACATCCTTTCCCAATCTGTAGGCAGTCATTTTGTTCTGACGACAGTGTTCTTTGCTTTACAGAAGCTTTTCAGTTTCATGAGGTCCCATTTATTGATTGTTGCTCTTAGAGCCTGTGCTGTTGGTGTTCTGTTCAGGAAGTTGTCTCCTGTGCCAGTGAGTTCAAGGCTCTGAAAGAAACTACTCAAGGGGGAGGACTCTTGCTAAAATGCTCAATTCCTACCCAGAAAGGCAAAGATGGACATCAGAAGAAGGAGAAAAGAGAGAACAAGTCAGGAGCCTGACGCAGAGGACCTCTGAAAAGCTCTGCCCTGCAGACTATCAATGCAGATGCTGAGACTTATGGGCAACCTTTGGGCAGAGTGCAGGGACTCTTAGGAAAGAAGTGGGAAACAGTAAGATCTGGAGAGGACAGGAACTCCACAAGGAGAGCAACAAAACCAAAAAATCTGAGCACAGGGGTCTTTCCTGAGACTGATACTTCAACCAAGTACCATGCATGGAGATAACCTAAGACCCCTGCACAGATGTAGCCCATGGCAGTTCAGTATCCAAGTAGGTTCCATTGTAATAAGAACAAGGACTGTCTCTGACATGACTGATTGGCCTGCTCTTTAATTACCTCCCCCTGAGGGGAAAGCAGCATTACCAGGCCACAAAGAAGACAATGCAGCCACTCCTGATGAGACCTAATTGACTAGGGTCACAAGGAAGGAAAAGAAGACCTCCCTTATTAGTGGACTTGGGGAGGGGCATGCATGCAGAGGGTGGAGGAAGGGAGGGATTGGGATGGGAGGAGGGAGGGAGCCACAGTGGGGGGATATGAAGTGAATAAAGTGTAACTACTAAAGAATTTTAAAAAAAAATTTTTAATAAAAAAAAAAAGAGCCCCAATATGGCTCTTAAATTCTTTTTGCCCCTTCTTCCATGATGTTCATTTAATGTTGGGGGTGTGTATGCATGTGATTACATGTCCTTTATACAGCTGAGCATTCCATAGTCACTTAACCAATTGTGAGTATTAATATTTTAACTGACATCCACTACAAAAAAGAGTCTCCTCTGCTGAGGGTTGCACTATTCTATAAGTGCAGAGATAGTATTTAGAAGACAGCTTGGTACCACATCCATTTAGCAAAATAAAAATAGTAGGTTTCCCCTGTGGGACTATGGTATCCATACCATGGGTTGATGGCTAGGTTTACAGTACTAGACAGGAGTTCTGTCTTATGGAGCAGGCCTTAAATCCAACCAGAAGGTGGTATGTTGCCCCCATGGCATTCATGCCAGTATTGGCATAATCATGCCATATTAATTGTTAACTGTAGCTCACAGAGTTTATCTCTGGATAAGGCTCTTGATGACTTATCTTCTTGATGACTTATCTTCTAGGAGCCTTTATCGAATCTCTTATACTTAAAGCTTTTCACTGTCTTCCTCTCCATCTGCAATGGCTTATCTGATTTCACTGAAAAGAAATCAGATCCAATTACTTCAAACTCAAATTTTCTTCCACTCTCCTCCTTACGTTAAAATTACCTGTATCTTGGAACTGCCTCATAGATTGACAACGAATAAGGATGTTGATTGTGATGGTTAGAGTTCTCTACTTGACAACAGAATCTACTTGGGAGATGGGCCTTCTGACATGCCTGTGAGGAATTAAATTGATTATGTCAATATGGGAAGACACACCCACCGTGTGGCACCACTCCCTGCGTGGAATCCTAAACTCTATAAATGTAGAAAGTTTGCTGAGCAGCAGCATGCATTGGTCCTTCTCTGGTTCTTGATTGGATATATTGTGACCAGGTGCTTCAAGTTCCCATACTTTGACTTCCCCACTACAGACTGTACCCTTGAACTATGAACCAGAATAAATCTTTTCTCCTTAAAGTTGTATTTGTCAAAGTATTTTATCTTAGCAATAAGAAAAGAAATTAAGACACTGATTAAAACAAGAGTTAGTGGTTTTTAGGACACACTCTTTATGTTGAAGATAAATTTAAGAGAAAGGTGATTTTATTTTTAATTATGTAAATATGTGTGTGATTTTATGCTTGTGCATGCAGTGCCCAGTATGTCCAGAAGAGGAATTCAGACCCTCTGAAGCTGGAGTATAGGTGGTTGTGCACACCCTTCGCTCCCTTGCCTGATGTAGGAGCTGGAAACTGAACTTGGGTTCTCTGCAAGAACACTGTATGCTCTTAGCCACTGAGCCATCTCAACAACCGGCTTCTGCTTTTTTGAGAAAGAGCTTAATAAAAACTGTCAGTATTTACCAAATTTAATATGTAAATATATTGTGACTCAGCAATCCAGTTTTAGGAATCTGATCTATCAAATAATACCTGCCTAACTGGATAAAGTATATCTTGAAAACATTTCTTATGTCAATATTTTCTTACTCTAAACATTATAATACAAATGCAGGTTGTCTGTAGGCCAGAAAATTTTAGATTTCTTTTCCCACAATTACAAAGGAGTAGGGTTTAATAGGAATGTGGCAAATATTTTTACAGTCACTTTTAGATCTTTTTTTTTAGTATTTACTTGCTGCCAGGCACCACTTCGGGTATTTTTAATATATCAACTCCTAAGTCTTTGCAAGCAGCCCTGCAGATTGTTGTATCATCTTTATGATACAGATGCGGTATCTTGAGCTCAATGGCTGGCACCTAAAGAAATAATGTGGCATCTGTGTGTCCAGCTCCTGTGCTACTTCAGTGCATCAGGAGAAGCAGCTTTATTGTAGTAACAGATTGTGAAAACAACTGTAATATATATTTTTCTTACTTTTCTTTATCTTTCCCAGTTTTCTCTTATTACTTACTTATGTACTTAATAAGTCTTACCATTTCATCACTTTTGGGTCACTCCTCTGCTTAAATAAGCCCATTCATTTTCATTTAACTGAAACTATGTAAATACATTCATTAGGTTTTTTTGTCTCTGTGACAAATAATTGAATTTAAAAGGAGGAAAGACTTATTTTGGCTCATAGTTTCTGTCTATAGTTGGCTAAGTCTGTTGTGTCTGGGCTTGTAGTAAGGCTTAATTAACGCCATGGTGGAAGGGTATTGTAGAACGGTACTCTTCACTTCTAGTATCCAGGAAACAGCAGAGCAGGAAGGGGCCACAGCCACAATATGCTGCCAAAGGTCTGACCACAGCAACCTTTCCTCTCTTCAGGTCCCACCCTGCACCATCTTCCAACAGTTTATTCAAATTTTTAATCCATCAGTGG